GGAGAGGGGTGATGCACGGAGAGGGGTGGTGCAGGGAGAGGGGTGATGCACGGAGAGGGGTGGTGCAGGGAGAGGGGTGATGCACGGAGAGGGGTGGTGCAGGGAGAGGGGTGATGCACGGAGAGGGGTGGTGCAGGGAGAGGGGTGATGCACGGAGAGGGGTGGTGCAGGGAGAGGGGTGATGCACGGAGAGGGGTGGTGCAGGGAGAGGGGTGATGCACGGAGAGGGGTGGTGCAGGGAGAGGGGTGATGCACGGAGAGGGGTGGTGCAGGGAGAGGGGTGATGCACGGAGAGGGGTGGTGCAGGGAGAGGGGTGATGCACGGAGAGGGGTGGTGCAGGGAGAGGGGTGATGCACGGAGAGGGGTGGTGCAGGGAGAGGGGTGATGCACGGAGAGGGGTGGTGCAGGGAGAGGGGTGTTGCATGCAGGGGTGATGCATGGAGGGAAATTCAACAAACTTACAGCCACATGCGAGACAATCTGCACCAGGACTTATGTTCCAACGATGTATGGGAGCATCTTCACGTAAGTGAGCCCGGAAAAAGTAGTCCCCAGAGAGAAGGGTATGAGGGGGCTGAGGTGCAGCAGTGACAATAGTCTGATAGCGATACGCAAGACAGTGAATATCACAACTTACGTGCCAAGGATGTACGGGAGCAGCTTGACAGAAGTGAGACCGTAAAAGTAGTTCCCGAGGGAGAAGGGCATGAGGGGGCTGAGGCGCAGCAGAGTGACGATGCGGAACGAGTTGTTCCCCACTGCGCGGTCGATCGCCTCGTACTTCTTGTTGCCTCGCACCATATCTTGAATACGATCGCGCGCCACGTACCGCGCGATCAGGAACGCAATTGTGGCAGAGATCTGGAGGCACGCGCAGAAGCGGGGGGGGGAAAGGGGAAGGAGGATAGCAAAGAATTGTGTTAAGAGGAGAGAGATTATGAGAGAATGAGAGTTTTGAGAGTCGGAAGGCGTCGGATGGAAAGGAGGAGGCAGGAGACCACTTTCACTGTGTCCCAGGTGTTTTGAGTCGACCCTAGAATCCGAGAAAGGCGAAAAAATGTATCAGAGGAGCGAGAGAGGGGCTCCTCAAGCACACGCAAGCAAGACCGACGCCAGACGACAACCGAGAAACGGTCCTCGAGAGAGGATGCAGAGAAACGTGCCCGCAAAACAAGCACAACCTCACACGTTACAACAACGCACCGTGCCGGAGAGGCTGCAGAGAAACGTGCCCATGGCCGGGCCGAACAGCACACCGGCGGACAGCGTCAGCGGAATAGCGGGCACCGCGAGCACCTCCAGAAGCGAGTACCCTAGAACGAACGTCACGTATCCCCCGGATCCCGCGCCTTCAATGTACGTTGTGAAGTAGTGAATCGCGCTGGAGATGTCGTCCCGAAAGTAATATCCCAGAAGCGCCAGTGACGCGACGACGCTTACTATCAGTGCTCCAGCCGCCAGCGTGCCGCCGATCGCCGCTTCCTTGCTTACAACCTCGCCGTCCGCGTCGGATTCCAAGCTAGCTGCCAAGTCAGCTTCCACGTCACCCGACTTCTCAATCGCCACGTCAGCAGGCTGTGAGTGGGTCGCTATTGTCAGCGAAAATTCGGGAGAGGCATTCGCGTCTGCTTCTTGATGGCTGGACTCGGGATTCATTCGATGAGCAGTCGCATTTTGACGTGTCTCCAGAATCACGTCAGGCGGGAAGACTCCATGGTTGTCCTCGTTGTAAGAAGCGTCATGGAAAGGTTTAATAAGCTCGACACCGTTCGGGACATCCCAGAGCCTGTCGGTCTCGTGTCGTTTCCGTTCTTTTTGAAGAGCACACCGAACCAAGCTGTACCGAGCTGGATTGCTCCGAACCAATCGGTTCTGCGTAGTTCTGACATGAAACGGCGAAAGGCTTCGCCAGGCTGAAACGCATCGTTCACGACGATGGTCGGTTCTGTGGGGTAGTCTGATAGCCGTGACATTGGAGAGGGCTTGTGGTGAACTGTGTGACTGTAAGGGGGAGCGATGTGCTGCTAAAGGAGTCCGCAAGGCGGTTTTGGCTGCTTCTGTCGCCATGGTCATTACTCGCGTTGAAGCTCAGAACAAGGTGATTAGCAACACACACGCGCGGCGCAACAAAAGGCTGTCAGTCGAAACAGCCTTGACACGCAGCGGAGAGCGATCGGTCTCTGAGGCAGGTCTAGGTCGTCGCAAGCTACACGATCGCCAAGCCGAAGGGTGCTCAACCCTACAAGCGAAGGGAAAGAAGCTCTGAAGCTTTGGATTGCTGCAACCTGTTATGCTCCACCAAGAACAAGCTGGAGAGCGCAGCCTTCACCTCCTCGCGCCCCGCCAAGTAAAATAATCAAGAACTGCGGGACTGACACTTTTTACCCTTTCCGCCAGTCACGGCTGGGAAAGGTGTAGCGCACGAGGATTTGGCTGTGGTGGGCGTGAACACAGAAATGTTGAAATTAGTTCCTCGCTGGATGTGCTTGCAAGGCGTACAGTTTGGTGCTCTCTTGGGATGGGAATATACTCAGCTGCATGTGCCCTGAACTCAACGGAGGGTTGAGATCCTGCGATGCGGCCAGAAGATTCCCGCGGAGCGGGAACGAACGGGTATGATGTCAAACGAGGGATGAACTTTCACGAAGCATGGGTGGATATGTGTACACCCCGTGAACCCCACCCCATCCCACCCATCGCAGCGTGTGATGATGATGATGATGATGATGTATTTGTGCGATCAGCGATGGTTGAAACCAACACACGCGCGAGGTGTGTGAGGGACGGAAGCAAGGCGAATAGCGTGGCACGAGGTCTCAAAAGACGGGGACTGATAGCCAACCATGTGCTTTCGAACGCTGTGCGGATGAAATGAAAGCCACGTGGCACCGAGTCATTGCCCCATGCACACGCTATGTTGTTGATGCTTCTTGACACACGGTGTCAAGTGGTCAACGCTGCGTCTGTTTCGTTTCGTGCTGACGCGTATCGGGTCATCGATGGTGGGCGAAGACCATCAGAGGTGCACACTTGGCCTTTTCTACGAGCATTTCGTGTGGAAAAAGGACGTCACCATTAGCACCGCTCCACGTCGGCGCGGGATCAACATCCGAAAGGGAATCCTTGGTGGCTCGAGATTCCATGTCCGCGGATCGTGGGTTTGGGCTCGGATGGTCTGTCTGATATGCCTCTAGATCATCTATTGGTGAAAGCGATTGTCAGCTAATCAGAAAGTGCAATACCGAGATTTATGCAACAGATGGAGATGCTGGTGAAAGGTTTGAGATTGTCTGGTAATGAAAGGTCGAGTCTGTCCCCAAGCCTCGAAGTTCACTACAACAGCATGTCAGAATGGTACTACAGTTCCAGCTCAAGTAAAAAAGTACCACCACATAAAGTGGATCCACATTAAACGACTCACATAAGCTAAGCCTTCCACATGCGGCAGCCCCTACACAATGATAGACTATATAAAGAATGCGTTACAGCAAGTGTAACGTTGCTAGTGCAACACATTGAGGCCGAGTCTGTATACAACCTCTTTATTGCCACACACAGTCCAATGTAACCCACAACTACTGGAACCAGCGACCTACCTGGTATTGCTCCTGTTGCTCCTGTGGTTTTGAGTCGACATGGTCCTCTTGCTTTGCAATCTTCGGGCCTTTGAACCACCGGTGAGCGTCAAGAAACCACCATAGGAGAAACACGGCCACCACCACCACAATACCCACAGCTGCATAGTTGAAATTCTCTGCCGTTACAGGATATTCCGTAGGGATCACGAAGACAACCATAGTGTAGATGACGTATGTGAGAGCCAGGACGTGCGCACACTTGCTGGAAAGGAAAGCGGATAAGGGGAAGGAAAGGGGGATAAGGGGAAGGACAGGGGGAAAGGGGAAGGAAAGGGGGATAAGGGGAAGGACAGGGGGATAAGGGGAAGGAAAGGGGGATAAGGGGAAGGAAAGGGGGATAAGGGGAAGGAAAGGGGGATAAGGGGAAGGACAGGGGGATAAGGGGAAGGAAAGGGGGATAAGGGGAAGGAAAGGGGGATAAGGGGAAGGACAGGGGGATAAGGGGAAGGAAAGGGGGATAAGGGGAAGGACATGGGGAAAGGGGGATAAGAAGAGCGGCATGAGTGAAGGAGTAAAAGGCGAGGGGTATGAAAGAGACAGGGAGTGATGAACAGGTTATAAGGGGAGGGGGGATTTATTTCACCATGGCCCTCAGCCCTTGCTTTACCTCTCTCTCCCTCTCTCCCTCTCTCCCTTCTTCCCCCACCACCACCCCTCTCTCACCCCCACCCCACTTCTCTCTCCCCCACCCCACTGTGGCCATCCCCCGTCATCGCAAAAGCAGGGGACAGACAGAGCCTCCCTAAATGGAGCACAAGGAACGAAACACCCAAACGGTACCCTCTCCCAACCCTCCTCTTCCCCTCTCTCCCAACCCTCCTCTTCCCCTCTCTCGCATCCCTCTTACCCGCCCGTGTGCCCGATGTAGTGGGGCAGATAGAAGGGTCCCGGAGAAAATTCTTTGTCCGACTGGATAATCCGAAGGAAGACCGGCACTCCGTACGCACCAAACCACCCCACGGTCGCCATCCCAGTCACAAGAAAGCAAAGCAGGCCACAGACAGACAGAACCCCCCAAACAGAAGCACAAGGAGTGAAACATCAACCCTTCCCCTCCTTCCCCTCTGTCCGCTCCCGCCCCTCTCTCTCCCAACCACCCCTACCTCCCGTCCCGCCCGCCCCTCCTCACCCGCCCGTGTGCCCAACATAATTGGGAAGATAGAAGGACCCTGGAGAAAAGTCCTTGTCCGATTGGATAATCCGAAAGAAGACCAGCACTCCGTACGCGCCGAACCACCCCACCGTGGCCATCTTTCCCCATTTTCCCTTCCTCTTCCCCACCCTCCCCTCCCCCCCCTCTCTCCCGTCCTCCCCTTTCTCTCCCCATCTCCCCCTCTCTCTCCCCACCCGCCCTCCCCTCCTCACCCGCCCATGTGCCCGATGTAGTTGGGAAGATAGAAGGGCCCCGGAGAAAAGTCCCTGTCAGACTGGATAATCCGAAAGAAGACCGGCACTCCGTACGCGCCGAACCACCCCACCGTCGCCATCCCCGTCACGGCAAAGTAGGCCACGGAGCCTCCGAGCAGCGGCATGAGGAAGACGATGGCGATGGCGCTGGTGCACGCTATGGCGTTCACCGGCACCTTGTGGGCGCTCACTCGCCGCCACAGGAAAGACAAAGGGAGGCCCCTGTCGCGAGACAAGGCGTAGCCCTGGTGTGGTGTGAAGTGAGGATGGGGAGGAGATAGGTGGGTCAAACACATGTGATGGCGTCATCTGGCACAGAATTGGCATCAACTGGCACCGGAGGAAAGATAAGTGGAGGCCTTTGATAATGGTTGGGGGTGGGGAGGCGGGGGGGGGAGGGATGGGGAGCAGCAGGGAAGCAGAGAGGTGGGCTACTGGTGCTGGTGCAAGCAATGCAATGCAGCTGGAGTTTTGAGGCGCCTCAAAAGTCAATGCAGCTGGAGCAGTGGAAACATAGTGATAGGCCCTGGTGGTCCCGACTCACAAGTCAAGGCATGGTCGGTGAGGGGAGTGGGTGGAGGAGTAGGGGAGGAGCAGGACAGGTTGATGATGGTAGTCCAAGCTATGGTGCAAGCTTACACCACATTGCATTGGACCAGACCACACCACACCACACCACACCACACCACACCACACCACACCACACCACACCACACCACACCACACCACACCACATCACAGCACATCACATCACATCACACCTACCACAAATCCAATTCACCGCGCCAGCAAGGATGAGGGTGATGATGGCAAAGAAGGAGGTGAAGAGGAGACTCAGGAACACCACCGCACCACACCACACTGAACTGGACCACACTGAACTGCACCACACCACACCACACCACCACCACACTGCACTGCACCACACTGCACTGCACCACACTGCACTGCACAACACACCACCAATCCGACTCACCACGCGGGCAGCAGCAAGGATGAGAGTGATGGTGGAAAAGAAGAAAGCAGTAAAGAAGAGACCAAGGACGACACATGCACCCGTGCCGCTGCCGAACCTGAGAGGGAGAAGGGGGAGGGAAAACAACAACAGGCATGGGAGGGAAGCACGGGGGTGATGGTGGCGAAAAAGAAAGATATGAAGAAGAGAACCAGGGGGACTGTGGGACACTGGCACCTGTGCCGCTGCCGGCAGGAGGAACGTGAGAAAAGACAACAGGCGACTTTTGAGTCGACTCAAAAGTCACCTCACATGGGAGGCGTGCATGGGGAGGGGGGGGAGCAAATTGTGGTAGAATAAGGAGATGAAGAAGAGAAGAGACCAAGGAAGACACATGCATGCACCCGTGCCGCTGCCGAACCTGACAGGTAGAAAAGGCAGGGAAAACAACAACAGGCATGGGAGGGAAGCATGGGGGTGATGGTGAAGAAGAAGGAGAAGAGGAAGAAAGAAACCTTGGAACTCGCACGCACCCCCACCGCCATGTTCAGACATTTCTCAGCGATATCGCTGAGACATTTCTGAACATCGCGGAACTCACACACACCCGTACTGTTGCCGTACCTGAGAGAAAAAAGGGTAGGAACGGGAGGCATGTGCGGCAGGGGGAAGGAGGGGGGGGAGGGGGAAAGCATAACGGGAAGGAAGAAGGAGATGAGGACCCACCTGCCTCACAACACACCTGCCCCACAACCCACCTGCCTCACAACCCACCTACCTCAAAACCCACCTGCCTCACAACCCACCTCCCCACAACCCACCTGCCCCACATCCCACCTGCCCCACAGCCTACCTGTCATAGAACACGTCCCAGAGAATCTGCACCTCTGCAAAGTCCCCTCCTGTCACCGTGTCCTTAGCCAGTAGGCTGGCAACACACCTGCCCCGAAACCCACCTGCCCTGAAACCCACCTGCCATAGAATACGTCCCACAGAATCTGCACCTCTGCAAAGTCCCCGCCTGTCACCGTGTCTTTTGAAAGCAGGTTCTCTGGGTCCTGCATGCATGCACCATCAGGCAAAGAAGAGCTTTTAGGCGCCTCCAAAATAGACACACCAAAGGTCCCCGCCAGTGACCGTGTCTGTTGAAAGCAGGTTCTCTGGGTCCTGCCGGGGTGAGAAGGGAGAGAGGAGAGGCAAAGAGAGGAAAGAAGATCACTGAGAGGGCGGCTACCATTGCAAATGGCGTCGTCACATTGGATCGCTTTGCCTCTCCTGACGTGTGCGCCGCTGCTCTGGTGTGCAGCACAACAGCACAACATCACAGCACTGAAACAGCACCCACCCACCTGGATGCAGAATGTGAGAGCCACGATGATGCCACACTCCACACACACCTGGGACGTGTGCTGTGCTGGCCCGGGAGGTGTGCTTCCACACACACCCACCCACCCACCTGGATGCAGAATGTGAGGGCCACGATGATGCCCCACTCCACGAAGCAGATAACCGACAGAGCAGCGATCATCGCAAATGGCGTTGTCACGTCGGACCGCTTCGCCTCTTCTGATGTATGCTCTGCTGATCCGGTGTGCAGCATAACAGCACCGACTACAGCACACACGCACCTGGATGCAGAATGTGAGTGCCACGATGACGCCCCATTGCATGAAGCAGATGACGGAGAGGGCGGCGATCATCGCAAAGGGAGTCGTCACGTCGGACCGCTTCGCCTCTTCTGACGTGTGAGCCGCTGCGTCGAATGCGTAGAGGGCGTATTGAGACATGAGGAGGCCGGCTACCACCGCGTATGCCTGGGAGTGGGGGGCGGGGAAGGATCAGAGGAATAAAGCGCGCACACACACACACACACACACACACACACACACACACACACACACACACACACACACACACACACACACACACACACACACACACTGATTCACTTCGCCTCGTCTTACGTGTGCGCCGCTGCATCGAATGCATTGAGGGCGTATTGAGACATGAGGAGGCCGGCTACCACCGCATATGCCTGGGAGCGAGGGAAGGGGAAGGAACAAGAAAATCATGCAACTTGCCACGTCTCACAACACATGCACATACTTGCCACGTCTCACAACACATGCACATACTTGCCACGTCTCACAACACATGCACATACTTCCCGCTTCGCTTCGCCTCTTCCGACGTGTGCGTCGCTGCATTGAATGCGCAGAGCGCGTATTGGGACATGAGGAGGCCTGCTACCACTGCAGGGATTTTTTGAGAATTCTCAAAAAACCGCTGCATCGAATGCGGAACGCATAGAGCGCGCATTGCGACATGAGGAGGCCTACTACCACCGCGTATGCCTGGGATTAGCCCAGGGGAGGCAAGGGGGGGGAGATACTAGGTAGCAGTATTGATTTGTCTCTTCCGACGTGTGCGCCGCTGCATCGAATGCGTAGAGCGCGTATTGCAACATGAGGAGGCCTGCTACCACCGCATATGCCTGGGATGGGAGAAAACAGTGGGGAGAGAAGAGTAGGAAAAGTTGAATAGTTTTGCCTATTCTGACGTGTGCCCCGCTGCATCGAAGGCGACATGAGGAGGCCTACTACCACCGCGTATGCCTGGGAGTGAGGGGCAATCATTGAGAAGGGAGGAGAAGGAGAGGTGTATAGTGTTGCCTCTTCTCTTCTGACGTGTGAGCAGCTGCATCGGATGCATAGGGAGTGAATTGGGACATGAGCAGCCTGGCTACCACCGCATATGCCTGGGATGGGATAGGAACAACAAAGGAGGAGAGGGAGGAAAGGAGCGGTCCAGTTTTGCCTCTTCCGACATGTGAGCCGCCGCGTCGAACGCGTAGAGGGCGTATTGAGACATGAGGATGGGTGAGAGAAAAGGCACACACGATCCGCATGTTGCTACTGCATTTCCGTGAACACGAGCGGGGGGGGAGAAGAGGTACACAGGAGGAGTCACTCTCGCTGATGGCGGAGCCTAGGGGTGCGGAGTCTAAGGGTGACGGGTCTTGGGGTGCTGAGCCTAGGGGTGCGGAGCCTGGGGGTGCTGAGCCTGCGGGTGTGGAGTTAAGGGGTGCTGAGCCTGAGGGTGTGGAGCCTGGGGGTGCTGAGCCTCGGGGTACTGCTTCTTCTGGAGGTCGTGCGGGTGCTTCGCCATGACTGTCTCCCCGGCCGGAGCCTCTCTCCTCGCAGAATCTGCGTGAGTGGTTTACTCAACGCACATGCCTTCGGAGTGGAGCTGCCGGAGCTGGAGACTCTGCCGTTGGAGACACTGGAGCTGATGGTGCTGGAGTTATTGCTGGAGCTGGTGGTACCGGAGGTACTGCAGCTGCTGGTCCTGGAGGTGCTCGTACCAGGGGTATTGGAGCTGCCGGGACTGGTGGTGTTGGGGGCACTAGAGCTGGAGACCCTACGGAGCCTGGAGCTGTTGGGGCTGGAGGCGCTGGAGCTAGAGGCATTGGCGCGGGAGGCGTTGGAGCTGGAGGAGCTGGAGCTGTTGACCCTGGAGCTGGAGGTGCTGGAGCTGGGGGTGCTGTGTCTGGTGGTAGTGCTGCTGGAGGCACTGTGCGACCGCGACCGTACTTTGTTCCCCTACTTCAGCAGATTCTTGGTGTCCCGTCTTCTAGTGACTTTACTCCTCCCTTACTGTGTCCACCGCCTGACCTGTCGCAGCCGCCGTTAAAGCCAGCCTCCCCACTGCCTGCTCCTTCTCCTTACAGTGAGCAGACAGGCGGTCTTACAGAGTGTCGTGAGCCTGCGTCTCGTCCTGCCTCGCGTGTTTGCACTGGTCGTCGCTCTCCTCGTTCGTGTCCTCCTCCTGTCACCAGCACCCACGCTATGGCACTTCGTCCTTCCTCTGTTCCACAACGTGTTCCTCTACTGCCTCCTCCTGATTCCTCTCTTCCTGCCGTCCTTGATCCTTAGTCTGGCCTTGCACGTGCTGCCAGTCCCACTCTCTCTCGTCTCCTCGCCACTGTTGTCACTGACCCTTCGTTTGTCTCCACTGCTGCGTCTATCGTCCTTGCTGAGCTGCTTGACTTTGCTGCTGCCTGTCGTCTAGACTACGCCGCTGCTCTTGTTGCTGTGTCTGAGTCTGCCAGTCCTCCGTCCGTCGGGGGTGAGTGTGCTCTTGGCACGGACGTCCTTGAGGACAGGCAGGAGGACTTTAAGTGTCTTGCAGCTGCTGTACCTTGTTTCGCTTCCATGCTGCTTGCCCCTGAGGGAGACCCGGATGCACCAGTCATCCCAACCCCACGCTCTTACGCAGAGGCGATTACGGGTCCTTAATCCTCTCAGTGGCAGGCAGCCATGGATGCCGAGATGGCATCCTGGAAGTCCACAGGCACCTACGTCGAGGCAGTTCCCTCGTCTCGGGCGAACATAGTCGATGGCATGTGGATTTTCAGGGTGAAGCGGCTGTCGCGTTCTCCGCCTGCCTTCAAGGCGCGTTACGTTGCTAGAGGCTTCAGTCAGCGACAGGGGGTCGACTACTTCCAGACCTTCTCCCCCACCCTCAAGATGACTACTCTTTGGGTGTTGCTGCACGTCGCTGCTCAGCGTGACTACGAGTTGCACTCTGGAATTCAGCAAAGTTTTCTTGCAGGGCAGCCTACACGAGGAGATCTGGTTGCGTCGCCCACCTGGCTTCACTGGGTCGTTTCCTGCAGGTACCCAGTGGAGCCTCCGGCGGCCAGTCTATGGTCTCCGCCAGGCGCCTCGCGAGTGGCACGACACACTGAGGACTAGACTTGCGGCTCTGGGGTTTACTCCTTCTACTGCTGACCCGTCGCTGTTTCTACGCACTGACACCTCGTTGCCGCCGTTCTACGTCCTCGTGTACGTCGACGACCTCGTCTTTGCCACTGCTGACACTGAGGCACTGACCCTTGTGAAGTCAGAGCTGCAGAAGAGACACACCTGCACTGACCTGGGTGAATTGCGCAGCTATCTTGGCTTGCAGATCACTCGGGACAGAGCACGGCGCATCATCACCTTGACTCAATCACACATGCTTCGGCTTCCAGTTCTCCTCGCCACAGCCCACTCCTCTGGCTACTGGCCACTCGCTCTAAGCTCCATCTTCGGACGAGTTCGTAGAGTCGAGCGGTCCGTACCCAGAGCTTGTGGGTTGCCTCATGTACCTTATGACGTGCACACGACCTGACCTCGCGTACCCTCTCAGCCTCGTGGCTCGCTACGTGGCTCCCGGTAGGCACCGAAAGGTGCACTGGGATGCTGCGAAGAGGGTACTGCGTTACTTGTGCAGTACGTTGCGCATGGGGCTCGTGCTTGGAGGACGGGGTCCAGTTGTCCTCACTGGTCACGCAGACCCTTCTTGGGTTGACGACTCAGCTACGCAGCGGTCATCACAGGGTTACACCTTCAGCCTCGGTTCCAGCTCTGTTTCCTGGCGGTCTACCCGCTCGTCTTCGGTTCTTAGCTCCAACTGTGAGGCTGAGATCTACGCGAGGGCCATGGCTGCACAGGAGCTACGCTGGCTCACCTACCTGCTGACTGACTTGGGAGAGCAGCCTCATTCGCCTCCAATTTTGTACGTAGACAACAAGGACATGATTGCCTTGTGTCAGGTGCACAGACTGGAGCACAGAATGAAGCCCATCGCTCTGCGATACTTCCTTGCTTGAGAGTTGCAGCAGCGTGGCCAGCTTCGTCTTGCGTACGTGGCCACTAGGGCCAACACTGCTGATATATTCACCAAGGCACTTCCGCATGGTGATCATCAGCGCTTCTCTACTGTGTTAGGCCTTGTGCCTACTTTGCCTCACTTGCTCACTACGTGACTTTGCTTGTACTGTGATCTATATATATACCTGCATGCTTACAATTGCTAGGGTATGATCACTGTATTGTTTGTTGTGTGCCAGTCCGATGGGTACTATCTTCGAGGTGTTTTTGTCTTCCAGCGCCTTTAATTCTCTGTCCATGGCTTCACGCCATTTTTCCCTGTGTTCCCCCCCCAGAGCCTGCTGAACCGTAGCAGGTTCTCGCGGCATTGGTGCGCCATGGACTGCGGTGACGAGGCCAAGAATCTGCAGCCCACTCTGTGTGTAGCGAGGGAGATTTGGGTCCTCGGGATAAACTGCTTCGTCTCCCGCTTATGGATCAGGTAAGAAGATGGGGCCTATGCTTTCTCAAACGTTTGTGTTGACCGGCTGTGATGTAACGTAACTGTTGTCGGCAAAGTCGTAGTAGACTTCGGCGTTGATGCTTTCGCGAGGATTTTCGTCGTCCATCGGAACAGGTACCGAGCAGTAGGGAAGAGGTTAGGCTTCCTCGGATGCTCCGTCCACGTTTTGCTCATCCCAATCAGCCTCATCTGCTGGTGTGGCGAAGGCTCGGTTGCCACGGAAGACGCCCGAGAGGTCTCGTTTGGCTGCCAAGTTGTCCAGGTACGTTTGGAGAGTAAGTCGCTTGTAAAAAATCACGTCACGTGCTGCTACTCTTTCCTTCGAGTGGACGTCGAAGATTTTCCACGCGTTGTCGTGTTTTTCGATGCCCAGGTGTAGTCCCCACTTTGCGCGTTGTGAGAATCGTCCAGCTCGTGCACTGTGTGGTCCGTACTATACCATGCAGCCAAAAACTCGTAACATTTTTGTGTTGCCCAATTTACCTTCCCCTCTTCTGTTCCTTGCCTGTGCTCTACCTTGTGCTCCCTCAGCCACTCCCTGGTGAACCTGGTGAGATATTGGACCTCCCACTAGCTGGCTACTCCGAGTGGCCTTGTCACCTGGCTTAGAAAGCTTAGATCAGCAACTTAATCCACTATAATGAGTAAACAAACGAGAGAACTGCTCGAGTGATGTTTCTCTAGGCTATAAATCTACCCTCAGCCAAGTCGCCAATGTCCCAGAGTCCTGATTGGGTTCGGGCCGCTCGAGCTTGGTATTGGCCAGAGTAATTTCCCAATTGCTCGAGGCTCTTGGGTTCACTTCTTGTGCGCACCGCTGGTCCCCAGGCCACCAACTTCGTGTCACTCCCCCTGCTGCTGTCCACCAAACTGCTTACAAAGCGAAATAACACTCTACACCCCAATCCCACTTGCTACAGCACATCATATTACACTGTAGTGGCGTTAACAGAATGAATTGCACCTGCCCTTTATGAATTCTGTGACACAAAACTCACCCCGTTGGGGATGCCTGTGATGCTGTATTGCGCCTCAAAGTGACCACACACCCACGAGGCTGGCTGGCTGGTGGTTGGGTCTTTCTCGAACACTGCGGCAAGCGTAAATACCTCTCGCACAGAACGACTCGACTCACCCCGTTGGGGATGCCTGTGATGCTGTATTGCACCTCAAAGTGCCCGAACACCCACGAGGCTGGCTGATGGGTCTCTGCGACGGCAGGGAGCGTGATTATGAACACGAATGCCACCAGAATCTGGGTGGAGTAAGTAAGGGGGAGGGAGGACAAAGCAGGAACAGGGAAAGAGACAGAGGTGGAAGACGAGCGTACGTGTGAATGCGGCAGCAGGGAGTGTGATCATAAACACCAGTGCCACTAGAATCTGGTGGAACAAAGGGGGGGAAGCGGGAAGAAACAGGGAGATGAGGTGAGGGCAGAAGAGGATGATGAGTGTGAATGTGCCAGCAGAGCGAGTGACTATAAATAAACACCAGTGCCACTAGGATCTCATGAATGAGGGGGGAGGGGAAAATTGGTTGGCAGAGCGTGAGTGTGAACGTGACGGTAGGGAGCGTGATTATAATTACCAGTGCCACTAGGATTTGGTGAAATCAAGGGGGGAGCGAAAAAAAACAGGGAGGTGCCAGAGGGTGAAGAAGAGCGTGACTGTGAATGCGACAGCGGGGAGAGTGATTATAAACACCAGTGCCACTAGGATCTGGTGAATGAGGGGGGAGAGAGAATGAGTGAACAATCTCTCACCTGCAGCACTGTCCCAACGGCCAGCACTTGCCCCACGCGCTTAATGGGAAGAACATTGATGGCTGCACACACGAGGATGAGCGCCACACACGCCAGGAACTGCATGTCTGCCTGTATGTTGTTTCGTAGTCGACTAAAAAACAGCCTGCATCTTGTGTGCCTCTCTCTCACGCTCACCTGCAGCACTGTCCCAACGGCCAGCACTTGCCCCACGCGCTTAATGGGAAGAACGTTGATGGCAGCACACACGAGGATGAGCGCCACACAGGCTAGGAACTGCAGGTAGTCTGGGAAGATGTATCCTCCCCCGTTGGCACCGCCTGGGGGAAAAGCAGGTGGCATGAACAATACAGCACAGATGGGGATGAGGGAAAAAGAGTAAGAGCCACACACGCCAGGAACTGCAGGTAGTCTGGGAAGATGTATCCGCCCCCGTTGGCACCGCCTGGGGGAAAGGGGGATAGCGGAGTGGTGATGGGGGAAGACATGTGGCACAGACCAGAATGAGCGCCACACAGGCTAGGAACTGCAGGTAGTCTGGGAATTTGTAGCCGCCGCCGTTGGCGCAGCCTGGGGGAAAAGCTGTGCTGATGTGACTTCTGAGAATTCTCAAAAGTCACATCAGCACAGATAGGGATGAGGGAGAGAGGATGAGAGCCACACAGGATAGAAACTTCAGGTAGTCGGGGAAGTTGTATCCGCCACCGTTGGCGCCGCCGCCTGGAGGAACGGGGAAAGGAGGAAGAGGGGAGAAAAGGGGGAGGGGAGGAGGGTGGGGAAGGGGTAAGACGACGCATCGCACAGACCAGAATGAGCGCCACACAACTTTTCACTTTATCAGTGCGACTTTTGAGAATTCTCAAAAGTCGCACCAATGAGCGCCACACAACTTTTCACTTTATCAGTGCGACTTTTGAGAATTCTCAAAAGTCGCATCGCACCAAAGAGCGCCACACAACTTTTCACTTTAACAGTGCGACTTTTGAGAATTCTCAAAAGTCGCACCAATGAGCGCCACACAACTTTTCACTTTATCAGTGCGACTTTTAACCCACGCATCTGTGGCGAGCAGCACGAGTGACATGATCTGCTGAATTCCCCCAAAGGCCACTCGCCCCACTCCCATCTGTAGAGAGCAACCTCCATCTGTCTGTAGCCAGGAGCATTCCTCCTAATACGGAGCACCCATTTACCCACCCACCCACCCATAGCAAGAGTCATCTTTAACCCGCGCACCTTTGGCGAGCAGCACGAGTGACATGATCTGCTGAATTCCCCCAAACGACACTCCACCCACTCCCACCTGTAGCAAGGAGCATTAGAGCACCTTTCCATTCCACCCACCCGCCTGCCCGCCCGCGCCCACCCACCCACGCACCTGTGGCAAGAAGCACGAGTGACATGATCTGCTGGATGCCCCCAAACGCCACTCCACCCACTCCTACTGACACTCCCACGAACTCCAACCAGCCCTGGTGGAGAGAGAGGGTGAGAGAGTGGGGGAGGAGAGGGGAGTGCGAGAGTGAGCTAGAGGCAACTCCTGAGTCGAAAATAGAAGGCCGTAGAAAGCCACTCCCCCACACAAGACAACCACCCACAATGTGAACGAATCGTACTTCAATGACTGTTGGGAATCCTCAAGAGAGTAGTATGTCCAGCCAGAGCAGCACGTTCTCTAGTACTCAGTGATCCATGCTGCAAACGGGCCGTGTTTTAGTGAATGCTTAGAATTCTCAATGGTCAGTCCAGCCAGATAAGCACGTTCTCTACTACTCACAGTGATCCATGCGGCAAATGGCCCGTACTTTGGGCCAGCAAGAGCAGCCGCCCAGAAATAGAGCGAGCCAGCTGTCTGTATAGGGAAATGGGGGAGCGGAGGGGTGGAGGAGAGGATTGGAGAAGGGACCAGGGGTAAGGCAACGACAGGAGCATAGGCAAAGGCAGGACAAGGGAAAAACGTGGGAATGGAGGTGTGTGTGTGTGTGTGTGTGTGTGTGTGTGTGTGTGTGTGTGTGTGTGTGTGTGTGTGTGTGTAGTGTGCGTACATGCATGTGTGAGAGGGAGGGAGAGAGTGCAGAGCTCACAGGGAAGGAGAGGGCGAGCAGGTGGGCGAAGACGGCAGTGATGAGTGATGATTGTGTGGGTGTGTGTATGCATGTGCGTGTGTCTGTGCATGCATGTGCGTGTGTGTGTGTATGCATGTGTGTGTGGGGAGAGACTGTATGGTCCACTTACAGGGAAGGAGGAGGCGATTTCTGCAAAGGAGAGGGCGAGCAGGTGGGCGAAGAAGGCAGTGATCCACCAGAACCACACGCAGCACACCGGACCGCCGTTCAGATATGCCGTGCTGCAAGGAAGCACAACAGGCACATGAGATGAAGGGAGGGAGAATGAGGGCAGTGCAAGTCAAGCAATGATCCACCAGAACCACACGCAGCACACCGGACCGCCGTTGAGATATGCAGTGCTGCAGGGCAAACACAATAGAGATGGGGGGCCATTGCAGGTGGCGAACACTCAGAACCCTTTTCATTGCAGGCTGAGTTTGAGAATTCTCAGAATCAACATAAGCAAACACAATAGAGATGGGGGGCATTGCACGCAACCATGAGTCCTTGCACGCGACCATGAGTCCATGCACGCAACCATGAGTCGATGCACGCAACCATGAGTCCATGCACGCAACCATGAGTCCATGCACGCAACCATGAGTCCATGCACGCAACCATGAGTCCATGCACGCAACCATGAGTCCATGCACGCAACCATGAGTCCATGCACGCAACCATGAGTCCATGCACGCAACCATGAGTCCATGCACGCAACCATGAGTCCATGCACGCAACCATGAGTCCATGCACGCAACCATGAGTCCATGCACGCAACCATGAGTCCATGCACGCAACCATGAGTCCATGCACGCAACCATGAGTCCATGCACGCAACCATGAGTCCATGCACGCAACCATGAGTCCATGCACGCAACCATGAGTCCACGCACGCAACCATGAGTCCGTGCACACAATTATGAGTCCATGCACGCAACCATGAGTCCATGCACGCACATGAGTCGTCGTGACGTAACCATAGTAGGGGATCCCCAGGAACATGCCCACGTCGACTTACAAAAGGCCAAGCCCGAACCCATTCACGTATGAGTCAATGCATGCACATGTGTCGTGACTTGACATACCCATAGTAGGGGATCCCCAGAAACATGCCCACGCCACAGAACGCCACTGAGAACAGCTCGAACGAGTTCTGCAGACGAGAGAACGAAGGGGTTACATTGTTACAGCAATTACTTTTCAGTCGGCTCGGCTCAAAACAGTTCCCCAGCGATACAAAGGTGTGGAGTTTCAAGGTAACGAGCTGCACCCTTGCTCAAAACAGTTCTTGAGACGGTTCAGAAATCAGGATTGAAAAGTTTCAGGTTTGGGGTTAGCCGCCGCGGCAGCGGGCCACAAAAACGAAAACGGAAAACGGAGCGGCGCTTTATGAAGTGTACAGACAAGAAAAAAGACTTGACTGAAACGTGATAGCGGCGATCTTTGACGCGTACAAACAAAACGAGGGGATGAAAATCGAGAGAGGAGGTGGAAAACACGAGAAACAGGACGATTATGACCTTCTGGCGTCATTTCCTTCAAGGACGAAAATTAGGACAACTTGCAATGTACGCGTTATAGAATCTCACCATGGACCGCTGCAAGTCCTGCGTGTACCCAAGCTCCATTAACCGTTTCTCTCCAGAATCAAGCTCCAACGTAAACAGCACACCGTCGTCTAACATAATTTCCATAGTCTTTGCTTTCCCCTCCCCGGCCTCTCCGCCTTCCCCGCCTTCCGCTCCGCCAACGTGGATTCCCCCGTCTTCTTTCACGAGTGCAACCACCGCAGCCCCCTCAAAGGCGCAGCCTTCGCGGAAAAGCTCGTCTTCCTCTGACTGCACGATCGCCGATTCCGTCGCCGTCGCCATAATGATGGGTGTACTAACACTTTTATTTGTCTAAGCGGAACGTCTTACAGCTATTTTGGAGTGAATAATCAATATGATGCTTAACGGAGTTTTTTAAGAAGGGGAAAAAATACGCGGGTGCTATAAATAAGACTGGAAGGAATGGCGTCGCGTTAGCGCCTCGAGGCGTACCGACAGATATATTTTTTTCGCGTGGCTCCGGAGGTGAATGTTGAGTCGACAGCGACGAACTGAAAGAAAAAGGTTGTCAGCTCCTAATAATATCTGCATGCGACAATGTGTCCAAGCCGCTCTAAATACTACGGCGCTCCCGAGACAAAATAATGAGCTTTGCGACGTCGGAAAACGAGAACTTCGAGGCGCGCGGTCAGGAGCGACGGGTGTCGTCGCTAACTTGAGTTAGAACGTAGAAAGGGCGGCTGCATTGCTCAGGACGAAAAATCGGGTCAGCTCGGGTTCAATAATAATGACATCCGTGACATCGGAGTGTGCATGAAGCACTTACGGTTGAGAAGCAATTGCAATGAGCGATGTATTTCCTTGGAGGAAATATTGCTTCAATCAGGCTGGGACCCCGAAGCTCCTTGCTAGCGCTGCACGGCAGAGTTTCTTGGCAAAACGATCATGGAAGTGAAGGGAAGTTAGTTGAGCAAGTGGCGTGCTTGGAGTTTGTCTGACACAGTTGCAGAGCAACTAGAAACGGAAGGCCCCACCCCCACCCAGACCAGACCAGACCGCTGCACTTCCAAAGATTTGGTAGGTTCCTGCAATCAGGGCGTATCTTAGAGCTCATTTTCCGTCAAAGAACCTACCGAACCGTTTGAAAAAATAGGAGAAACTTTGTGGAACACACAGCACCGCACTGGTTCGCAGTGTCTAGTTGGGGGGAGGCTTGGTGTTTCTGAAACGGTAGACTGTCATAGCTCGGTGCAACGCGCTGGAGAGGGTTAGCATCTGTACGCCTATGTCACCCACTCGCAACCGGTGCAACTGTACGATGGAGCGGAAGGAGCATGTCTGTTATTTATTTATTTCGGTCAACCTTGACCACATCTTTTGCACGCGCACACCTAGAGAGTGTCCCCTAGAGGATACGGGCGGCAGCGGGGGAGTTCAGGTTTGTAGGGTTGCGACTCCTAAAATAAGTGTCACCACAGAGTGCCCATGTGTTGACTTCATCAACTAGCACACTACGGCCTACTAATAATGTCCATGCTGAGAAGCACCAGAATTAGGCGCACACTAGTGAGCGCATCATGGGTTTCCGCAAGCATTCTCGTGGTGTTGAGGACTATTTTCAAGTGCCAAGCACATAAGAACAGTAGCACTGGAATCATGACCGGAGTATGGAACAGATTGTGGTTATAACGAGCCGTTACAACAGAAAAGGTTTCAAGTAGTACCCAGGAAACATGCTCAAGCCAGGTGTACCCTAGTCTCTCCTGGTCAGGATGGAAGGAAAACATGCTGAATAGGTGTGGCCTGGGTGGGGTTGGTGGGGGAAGGTGGAGAGGTAGGTTGGGACTGTCACTCCACTCTATTCTCATCACCAGTGGTGCAGTTTGGTTCTTTGACCGCAATCTTGTTTGACAGTGGTCTTGGGTGTGGTCTTTTCCGACGAATATATCTCAGCGAGTCCGCCCGGGGGAGCTTGCTGCCCGCGGGCAAAAAAATAAAACCCATTCGGGCACGCATCCGGTCAGGGAGGCATCAACCCTAAACACAGGGAGGCATGGATTTAGGGTTGATGCCTCCCTCGGATGGCATACCATCCGATAGGGTTTTAGTTTTTTTCTGCCCGGGGCAGCATGTCCTCAAGTCGTCAACGGGTCGTCAGGCTTGACGACCCGTTTCTGCTGAGATATTCCATTTGTAAAAACACAACTTGACCAAACACAGAACCATGAAAGTTTACGTAGGTTTCAATATTTTCTATTTCACAATACTGGTTTCACCTCTCTCCAACAACGCGTACAAACGAGACAGTCACCACTACCACTTGAAAGCTTGTGCCGTAGCCTCAGCAAGCCAGACTCGTGTCAATTATGGCGCACCTGACGGCCGTTCCCCCCGCGCTTCCGTCAACCCTCCACGTGGCGTCAGCTCATTCGCCTAATGTGGTGGTCACATCACGAGCATGCGCGATTACCGTGTTACCATTCGCCTCGCATTGCGCATCCACCACATTTTCTAGAGCGCACCTCATAACGTCCCGAAACTTCCCGCTGATTTCTTCACGAGCCCCGCATTTTCCGCGGCTCGCCTCAAGACCCGAGCGTAGCCCAGGTGATGTCGTTACCCGCGCTTCGGGGAATAGTTCGGCGGGGCGCGATCCCGAATCCTCGGGGGCAGTGAGCGAGGAAGAGGAGCAAGCGGAGGAGGAATTAGAGGAGGAGGAGGAACCGGAGCTGGAAAAATGTCATTTTGGCGGGAAAGAATTGGAGCGGTTCGTGAAAATCAACGAGGGCCAGTGGCGTGGCGCGTTTCTGGTGAGTCTGTCGCACTGATGACGGCCAATACGACAAAGATATCAAGGACAGCAGGGCCATGACGCTCTGATTTTTATTGTACAAGTCAAAACTTTATTGTACAAAAAAATAAAAATATGTCAGGGTTGCTTGAGCGTTTGTTGGCAATGACTGGCAGGGCACAAAGGGTGTAACCATGAGAGATGATCCCAAGGTCCTGTTTCAGAGTGTTTCAAAACCTTTAGCCATGTCGGCTGGAGTTCAGGTTCAAGATTCAGGTTCGGGCGGGGTTTAGGTTGGGGGTTTCAGCCTCGGGTTTAGGGTTTGGTTTGGGCATCTTAGTACATGCCCCCTCGTGCCGCTCCTGTCCCCTCTTGCCGCCTGGTTCCCCCATCCCCTCCTCCCTCACTCTTTCCCCCCTCCCATCTCAGCACTATGATCTGAACGGCTGCAACCCCAACCCGCATGCTTCACAGAGTGTCCACCCCCCTCTCTTCTCGTCTCGTCCCCCCTGCCTTCCCCGCGGGCCTCTCTCCTCACATTCCTTTCTCCTTCCCCTCTTGCTCCCCCGCTCCGCCCCTTTCCTCCCCCCCCCCCCCCCCCCCACTTTCTCCCCTTACCAGCACTACCATCTGAACGGCCGCCTGCTACGCAGAGTGCCCACCCGCCTCTCTGCTCGTCCCTGCCTTTCTCTGCTCAATTCCTCATCTTCCTTTATCACTCTCTCCCCTCCCTCCCCCCTACCCCCGCTTCTCCCCTTCCTCACCAGCACTACGATCTGAACGACCGCTTGCTACACAAAGTGCCCACGCGCCTCAATCACTACTTCAATGCCTTTTTCAGCTTGCCTTTTCCGCACATCCCCTCCCTCCACCTTCCTCCACCCCCTCCCTACCAGCACTATGATCTGAATGGCCGCTTGATACACAGAGTGCCCACCCGTCTCTCTGCTACAGCCTCTGGGCAGGGCGAGAACAGCTCCCTGCTACAGACGTGAGTCTCTGCTACAGCCTCTAAACATGGGAATATTTACATCTTGTTTTAGTAGTAAGCTTTAGGGAAGGGGAAACACATTCCCTTTGTTCTTTGTTCCGCCTCTCCACTCCTCTCCACCTCTCTCGATTCCTCCACACCTCTCAGCCCTCGTTGCCACCTCTCACTCTTCCCCTCCTCTCCTCTCACTTCCGGCCAAGTATGGGGCATTGGCAATATCGCTCCAGGAATGTTCAAGTATGAGAACTCTAAAAACATCCCTGTATGTGGCAATATCGTTCAGAAAGACTCCTTGCAATCCGTGTCCCTTTTGTTCCTTGCTCTTTTCCTCCCCTCATCACTCCTCCACTCCCCTCTTCTTCCCATTCCCCCTCCGCTTTTCTCACCATTCCCCCTCCGCTCCTCTCCCCCTCCCCTCTCTCCAACAGGTTGAATGTGAAGCAAGCGCGCACAAGTGGGGAGGAGGAAGGAGAGGAGTGGGTGGAGATCAAACTAGAGGAGGTGAATCGGATCACAGCAGCCAATCGCCTTCAGGCACGTGGCCGGTTTGATTTCTCTGACAAAAAAGGTGTGATAGACCTTTGGGGATGCATAGGGGTCTTGACTCGCTTGACTTGTCTGTGATGATGCTTGGCCGGCTTGACTCGCTTGACTGTGATGATGCTTGGCCGGCTTGACTCGCTTGACTTGTGATGATGCTTGGCCGGCTTGACTAGCTTGACTTGTGATGATGCTTGGCCGGCTTGACTCGCTTGACTTGTGATGATGCTTGGCCGGCTTGACTCGCTTGACTTGTGATGATGCTTGGCCGGCTTGACTCGCTTGACTTGTGATGATGCGGCACAAAGATCATCGAGCCTCTTCCAACATTTCCAGACCCCATTGCCCCTCCCCTCCACTCCGTCTCGCTGCTCTCCCTGCCAGGTCGCCCGGTTCCCCTTAGATGGCTGACCATCGGGCATACTCCCTCAGCCACCAGACAGCAGAGGTGCTAGTGAGGGCACTCGCAGTGGGGGTGGTGGGAGAAGAAGCAGCAAATGAGGGCTGAAGCAGCTGTCCCTGTCTCCTCACTCCTCACTCCTCCACTCCTCCCTCCTCCCTCCTCCCTCTCCTCTCCTTTCCCATGCTTCTCTCTTTCCCTTCTCGTGCGTACTGCCACGTGTGCAGATCACCTGTTCCCAGACCATCGGGCATACTCCCTCAGCCACCAGACAGCAGAGCTGCTCGTTAGGTCGCTCACATGTCTTCTCATTTATTCTCAACTTCAGCTCTCTCTTTCTCTCTCCCCTATCCCTTGAAACACAGGTGGCCTGGTTCCCAGTCCACATGGAATACGCACTCAGCCACCAGACCGCAGAGGTGCTTGTGAGGGCACTCGCAGTGGGGGTGGTGGGAGCAGAGACAGCAGGTGACGATGAAGCAACAGAGGTCATTGGAGGGCTGAAGCTGCCATCCCACTGTCCTACACTCCTCACTCTCCTCTCTCCCCACTCCTCCCACTCCTCTCTTTTCCGTCCTTTTCTCTTTCCCTTGTCATGTGTACTGCCATGTGTGCAGGTCGCCTGGTTCCCAGACCATCAGGCATATGCTCTAGGCCACCAGACAGCAGAGGTGCTAGTGAGGGCGCTTGCAGTGGGGGTGGTGGGGGCAGAGACAGCAGATGCTGACGAAGCAGCAGAGGTCATCGGAGGGGTGAAGCTGCCATCCCGCTCTCCTTCACTCCTCACTCCTCCCTCCTCCCTCCTCACTCTCCACTCCTCTCTCATTCGAACTGCCATCCCCTCCCCTCCCATCCAGGTCGCCTGGTTCCCAGACCATAGGGCATACGCTCTAAGTCACCAAACCGCAGAGGACTTAGTGAGGGCGCTTGCAGTGGGGGTGGTGGGGGCAGAGACAGCAGATGCTGACGAAGCAGCAGAGGTCATCGGAGGGGTGAAGCTGCCATCCCGCCGCCCGGCTCTCGTCAGCGAAACCTGCCTCTTCCTCTCCGAACCAGTTTCCGAAGCAGGCTCCGAGCCTCTGTCTGAAGCAAGCTCAGAAGCGGATAGAAATTGGGGGAATCGGAGGGTGCGTGCATTCCATGTGCTGGACTCAAAGGGGATGATCGACACTCTGGGAGTGTTTGTGGAGGAGAGGGAAGGCAGCGGGAAAGGAGCGGGTGAGGATGGTCCAGAGGCAAGAGCAGCCCATGCCAAAGAGCTTCTGGAGGTGAGACTAGGGAAAAGTATTGGGTGCGTGGGTTCCATGTGCTGGACTCCAAGGGGATGATCGACAGTCTGGGGGTGTTTGTGGAGGAGCGGGAGGGGAATGGAGAAGATTTAGGTCAAGATAGTCAAAACACATCAGCCCATGTCAGAGAGCTACTGGAGGTGAGTGAATCGAGAATGAGGGGTCCTTGGTTCCATGTGTTGGACTCAAAGGGGATGATCGGCACTCTGGGAGTGTTTGAGGAGGAGAGGGAGGGGAACGGAGAGGGATCAAGTCAAGAAAGTCAAGATGGTCAAGGCACATGGGTCCATGCAAAAGAGTTAATGGAGGTGAGTCAATGAATGAAAGAGGAAGAGGTGGGGTGTGTGGTTTCCATGTGTTGGACTCAAAGGGGATGATCGACACTCTGGGAGCGTTTGTGGAGGAGAGGGAAAGAAGTGTAGAAGGAGCGGGTCAAGATAGTCAAGGTGGTCAAGACTTGGCAGGCCATGCCAAAGAGTTACTGGAGGTGAGTCAATCGAGAACGTAGAGATAGTTTTGGCTCTTCAATTCCTCTCCATCCCTCACTATTCCTCTCCATCCCTCACTATTCCTCTCCATCCCTCTCCATCCCTCCAGCGGCCTGATCCTCCCCTCCCGCCTCGCACCTCTGCTGGGCGAATGGAATGGCACCTCCACCACCCCACCAATCAGCCATCCACCAGCCCTTGCTTACTCCCTTTCACCCCGTCTCTTTCGCCACTCCTCCCTCCCTCCTCATCCACTCTCTTCCCTCCATTGGCCAGGCACGACCAGAACCCCCCAATGCCCCGGTTCCCCCCTCCCGCCTCGCACTGCTGCTGGGGGAATGGGATGGCATCTCCACCACCCACCGATCGCCCATCTATGGGGAAACTGTGACACACTCAACCTCCAACTTCTTCCTCACTCTCTTCAGTGACGGGAGCCTGGGCCTGGTGAGTCATTCCTTCCCTTATTGACTCCTTCCTCCCTCCTCCACCTCCACCACCCACCCACCGGTCTGCTATCTATGGGGAGATTGTCACGCACTCAACCTCAAACTTGTTCCTCACCCGCTTCAGTGACGGGAGCCTGGGCTTGGTGAGTCATTCCTTCTCATCTCCTCCATCCCCTCTTCCTCTTGCCCCTCGCTGGTGGCTGGTGACTGTTCCGCACCACCCTTTCTGCTCACTGCTGGGTTGCGTGAGTGGGATGGCACCTCCACCACCCACCGGTTGGAGGGGAGACCATCACTCACTCGACCTCTAACTTAATCCTCACCCGCTTCAGCGCTGGCAGCCTGGTGCTGGTGAGTCACCTTCTCTTGACTCCTCCATCCCCCCCTCTTCATCTTGCCCCTCGCTGGGCCTGGTGAGTCACGCTCTCTTATCGCCTTCATCCTCCACGTGTAGAAAGTAGATTTTTGAGACGTCTCAAAACGTGTAGAAAGTAGATTTTTGAGACGTCTCAAAAATCGCCTTCATCCTCCACCACACCACCCACCGGTCCGCCATCTATGGGAAGACCATCACTCACTCCTCTAACGTCCAACGTTTTCCTCACTCGCTTCAGCGACGGCAGCCCTGGGGCTCGTGAGTCACCCGTCGCTGGTGGCTAACCCTCCCCATCGTTTTGGGCATTGCTGACTGGGCGAATGGGATGGCAACCCCACATCCACCACGCACCGCAACGATCAGCCTGAGCCATCTTTGGGGAAACAGTGACCCACTCGACCTCCAACTTCTTCGCCACTCGCTTCAGTGACGGGAGTCTGGGCCTGGTGAGTCACCCACTCCCGGCTCCTCCTTCCTCCGCTCCTGTTGCCCGGCCCTTTCCTCCCTCCCTCTTCAGCAACACATTCTATTCTCACACACGTCCTTCCACCAGGAGGAGACATGGGGTGACCTCTGCTTCAGGCGGGGGGGAGCCGTTGCCAGCCGCACAGAGGCAGGCCCTGAAGGGGCTTCTACATTCTCTCCCTTTTCCCCTCTCCCCTATTCTATAATACTTTCCACATGCGTTCCTACACCAGGAGGAGACACGGGGCGACCTCTGCTTCAGGCGGCGAGGAGCCGTTGCCAACCACTCAGAGGCATCTCCCGAAGCTGTGGCCACCTCGTCCGAAGCTGCAGCCTCGGAAGAACAGCATGGGCAGGAGGAGCAGGTTGGAGGGGGAGGCCGTGTGATGCTGGACGGGGGACAGCAGATCACCCTCCTTCCCGGTGGTCTTGCTCTCTCTGCGCCCTGCTGTGTGCCCCGCGGCCGCGCCTTCTTCTTTGAAACCATCCTGGCAGAACCGGAGGAGGGACAGGGGGCGGGGGTTGGGACGGAGAGGCCTGGGTTAGATAGCGCAGGGGTTGCGGTGCCTGGAGCGGAAGGGTGGAGGCGGCGCAGAGTGGCTCGGACGTACGATCCGGATGGTTTGGTTGTGTCCAGCTCAGTGTTTGCTGAGCGGAAGATGGGATGAGATGAAGATGGGAAGGGGAGTCAAGAGGACGTGTGATTAATGGTTCGGACATACGATCCGAATGGTTTGGTTGTATCGAGCTCAGTGTTTGCGGAGCGGAAGTTGGGTTGAGATGAAGATGGGATGCAATGGTGGTGACTAGTATGAGTCAACTGGAAAAAGTGGCTCGGTCGCAGGCCCCCAGAAGTCAGAGAAATTTCTCTGATTTACCTAAAAAAACTCTGATATTTCAGCCTTTTGTTTTAGTGGACTCTGAAACTTCAGCCTTTTTTTGTGTGTGAACTCTGAAAAAAAAAAACAGATTTTTTTTTTTTTTTCGGCCTACTCGGATATTTCAGATTTTTTTTCGAGAGTGTACTCGGATCCTTCAGACTAAAAACGCGACCTACTCCGATTTTACAGTAACAGTCAAGTTCTGGACCGCGACGCCACGCTGCGGCGTGGTTATCACCCCGTTACCGTAACACCAGTGCAGACCAATTTCCATCGATGATTGGTCATGTATGCAACTTTTGACAGCAAACGAGCTCTCAACCAGTACCCACGTTGTTGCTTTGGCCAGCAACATGACACTGCACACAGCAGTGCACTTCAGCTGCGCTGCGGCTCGTCGTTGCGGTGCATGCTATGTCGAAATAGTAGTAACAGTGAAGACTAGGTTCAAGTGAGGGCCTAGGCTTAGTAGCCTAGGCCAAGGGAGTCGAGGTGGCTTGTGCCAAGCAGAGAGGAGAGTGAGTGTTCACTATAGCACTAGGGTACATATAGCAAACAAAGAGGTGCACCACCTATAAAGTTAATATCTACACTACAGCTAGAACTACATGCAGGTATAAGAATATAATTCTGACATGCTAGGCAATCACCCACCTACCGGATGTTAGCGATGTTGGAAACAACTGATTTAAGCGCCTCTGTCGTGTCGAAACACTAAGACAAAAGCGAAGCAGATCGTATCGAAACATCGGTGAGTCAACCCTCGGAGGTTGAACAACTGCTGGAGGTTACGCGAAAGTCAAAGGTCAGCGACCTTTGACCTGACGAAATGTACAGCGCGACAGCAAGGACATATAACTGACTCGTTACAGAGCAGTTACCCGAGTCGGCACTGTATCGAACCGCAACAGCAAAACAGTTAAAATAGAACCTTTTCATATTCCTCGTAATCATATAAAAGCTTGTATCTTCTTATTATTATCAACTTACTTTGCCCTCACATACCAGCGCAAGGTGGTTCACAATCTTTTATTAAACGCTTCCGCTACTACATCATCCTACTCTTGAATTCTGTCCTGCAAAGATCCTAAGGGCTTTCTCAGCCCAACATGGTATGAGAGCAGTCAGGGCAAATTCGACTACAAACAAGATATCTACAACATCGCAAGACATGGCAACGCAGAAGGAGAGAAGTTCCTCTAACGGCTCTCTTGGCACTGCTCCTACTCTACCTCCTGCCTCTGGCCTACAGACAGAGGAGGGTACGGCAACAAGACCAAGGGCATCGTCTTCGGAAACTCCCGCAAATCAAGCTGCGGTCTTCGATCCAGACATGATGGAGAAGTTCTTCTCCTTCATGTCCTTCTACGAACAGCACCAGCAAGGGGCACCTGCACAGTCAAACAACAGCAACAACAACAACGCAACACCAATGAGCCTAGATGGTTCATCGTACGCACACGGAAATCAACAGCAACGGCCTAACTTTGCTCCGTATGAGCCCCAGCGTGGCTCCGTCAGCTTTATGCCACACCCGCAGCCTGCATCCGGACAAGAAAAGACACTGGATGCACTTCAAGTTCAGTCGCAGTTCGCGCACGTCTTAAAACTGCAAACGACAAAGCCTTTCGACGGAAAGGACTTCTTAACCTGGTCATTCGAGTTCGAGCTTATGATGGAAGGCGCGCAGATCCTTGGCTTCTTCGACGGGTCCCTGCCATATCCAACACACGGCACACAGTACGATAAGCAGCAGTACACGTATCAGTCAATGATGGCGTACACAATACTGCTGAGAAATATCACTCCAAGTCAGCAGCAGAACATACGGTCTTACCGGGGTTACGGCAATTCTGCAGAGCTCGCGTACAACCACCTGAAGAACCTGTATCAAGCAACAGACAGCGTAAATCAAAGTCGGTTAATGGCGCAACTGACGACAGTCGAAATGAAACCAGGCGAAAAAGGGATGGCGTATATCAGCCGTTGTCGCGAATTGCGCGACAAACTCCTTCGATGCGGAGGATCGATTTCAGAAGACGCCTTCATCACAGTCATCATCGGCGGCCTCGGTCCTCAGTGGCGCTCCACCCGCGCCATACTCCGAGCGCATGGAAAGATATCAGAAGCAGCACTCTGCGCCGAAATCCATGCTGAGCAGCAAGATATGGACCTGCAAGATGAACGACACAAGAAGAAGGCATCAGTGCCCGAATTTGCATTCCACACTCAACGACGGTACAACAACAACAATCGGCATCAACCGAAATCAGTACCTCCGTTCTGTCACCTTTGCAAGATGTCAGGGCATCCTCGCTCACACTGCCCTAACCGACAACAGTCAGCACCAACGCAGCGGCAGCTTCGGCCTTCAAGCAGTCAAGTTGCCTCAACGCAAGCAAGTTCGACTTCTCAAATACAAGCCTCAACGACATCGACGGGACAACCTGCGCAAGGAACAAGAAACATCGTCAGTTGCATGACACGACTGACCGACTCCTGCATCACAGAGTCACCACCATATTACTCACCGGAAGAGCAACTCGACAACAGCACACCTCGCCGCGAGTCACTTCAACCAAATCCGACGTATGCAGCTATCGCTCAAAGCGAGCCGTCCGGAAAAGATACGTGGTTCTTGGACAGCTGCTGTGGACAGCACATGTGTTCTTCAGGACGTTTTGTTCAACGTGAACACCAACTTCAACGCGAGGTCGTCATCACCGTCGCCAACAATCAGAACCTGCGCACACGACGACAAGGCGTAGTGCAACTCCAGTCACGAGAGACAAACGTTATACTACAAATGTCAAAGGTTTTAATAGCAGAGGGACTCGGCTACAACTTACTAAGCGTCAGCCAACTAATGGCGAAGGGGATCCATCTTGAAGCAGACATCACCACACAGGAGTTCAAACTCTTTCACGGTCGAGGAGGTCTCTACATCGGCAAAGCAGTACTGAAGAATAATGTCTTTGTCCTCGACTTCGTCCCAGATCTCGGCACTGCTGACAGCGACGGGATCGTCACCTTCACCTCTTGGACACATCCACCGGATCTTGACCCCGACTTCAGTCCAGAAGGATTCTGGTACTCTCACACCATCCCTGAAGCAGAACGAACAAGAGCATTAGCAACGATTCAACACCCGGCAGCAGCAGAAACAACATCGGCAGCAGCAGAGACAACATCGGCAGCAGCAGAAACATCGGCAACACCAACAACACTTACAACACCAGTCGCGAGTTCTTCAACGACAATACTTCACCGACTCCTGCGCAGCAGCTAACTCCCACTCCTCGCGAAGTTCACAGAAGCGCCAACTTCACCGCCGCCTTTTACTCCAACTCCGATCTGTATCGTCGTTCACCCGGCCATCGCGCCAGCGAAGACATCTGGCACGCACGAATGGGATATCCAAGTAATACAGTGTTAAACAACACAATCAGAGCAGGAGTTCTCGACAAAGACTCACTGCTTCTAACCGACGGAAGTGAACTTCGACGAGCGCGCGGAACGTGTTTTACCTGCCCCGAAGCTGACTTACCGCATCGACCTTTCACTTCTCACCACAACCCCAGCGCTCCAGCTTACACACCACTTGAAAAGGTGTACAGCGACATCCTGTACAATCGCGAACCCGGACAAGGAGCATACAGCTACACCATCACGTTCATCGATGCCGCTACACGATACGTTTGGCACCTTAATCTTCCGAGCAAGGACATGGCCTTCGAAGCCTTCATCGCTTGGCTCCCAGTAGCAGAACGAGAATCAGGCGAGAAACTGAAAAGCTTTCAGTCAGACGGAGGAGGAGAATACACCTCACAGAGGTTCAAGCAGTTCTTGGCAGAAAAGGGAATCAAGAGGCTCATCTCGCTTCCTTACGCCCATCAACAGCAAGGCGTGGCGGAACGGATGAATCGAACTCTCCAGAACACCATGCGCAAGTTACTGCGTGGCATGCGACTGCCCAATCACCAGTGGCCTGAAGCGATGGACCACGCTATCATGCTGCACAACTTGCTTTCGTCGTCGTCACTACCGAACAACGCATCACCGCACTTGCTGTGGACAGGAAAACAGGGCAGCACAAAAATGTTAAGAGTTTTCGGCTGCATGGTACAGTACCGACTGTCAGAGTTATTTGACATAGTTACTGTAGGGTACAGTTTCCTAGGGTTTGCCTTTTGTACCCAACTTTCACTTAGTCATTTCATTCCTGTTTTCTTGATTCACATGGTATAGAGCGGGTTCCTACATGGGACCGTTCCTTCCTAAGGGCCCACCATAAGATTTTTTTTTTTAGCTGCCCACGCACATTGCGCCCTGCCCTAATTTTTTTTTTTTTTTTTAGCGGCCCCTACGCTGCCCCTACGCGGCCCCTACGCCGCCTCCCACGCGCCCCCTATGCGGCCCCTGGCGGCGCCCTGACGAGGCCCCTGCCGGCGCCCTATCGCGGCCCCTGACGCGCCCCCTGGTGGCGCCCTGACGCGGCCCCTGGCGGCGCCTGACGCGGCCCTGACGCGGCCTGACGCGGCCCCTGGCGGCGCCCTGACGCGCCCCCTGCCGCGGCCCTGACGCGGCCCTGCCGCGGCCCCTGACGCGGCCCTGACGCGGCCTGCCGCGGCCCCTGCCGCGGCCCTGAAGCGGCCCCTGACGCGGCCCTGACGCGGCTCTGCCGCGGCCCTGACGCGGCCCTAACGCGGCCCTGCCGCGGCCCCTGGCGGCGCCCTGACGCGGCCCCTGACGCGGCGCCCTGACGCGGCCCCTGCCGCGGCCCTGAC